AAAAAAAAAAAAAAAAAAAAAAACTTTTCTCGAGTAACTACTAGTATGAGATTAACAAGTAACACACATGGAGTAAATATATACAACCAATATTAATCTCGACATTTTAGCCGATAAATTGTATATATAAAATACACCTTTTAGCCAATAAATATAATTAATTTTGGCCGACGGTCCTATTTACATTTTGCTCATTTAACTTCACCCAAACGGTTATTTGAGCTCTTATCTGTAAATCGTCCATACTTGAAAGAAAAAGAAAAAAAAACTTATTGCACGAAAAAAGTCGCACTTTTCCACTATGCAACATGGGTAGATTTCATGAAATCTACATTGAATGCCCAAAACAAGATTGTCAAAATCTAGAAAATTAAATTAGCATTAATTGGGCAGTCTAGCTAGTACCACTATAAAAAAGCCATAAAGTTGTAACTCAAGGCATTCAGCTAACTTCTTAGTCTTTGAATTAAAACTTTTTGAAATGAATTTCATCCCTCACTCAGCCTTAAAATTTCTATTTTAAAAAAAAGTACAAATTACTAAGTAAAACAAAATGTCAAGGAAACATGGGTCTGCAATTTTATGGGTCATGTTTTTGGCCTTGTTTACTATTCAAATAACTAATGCTGCTATTTACAATGTTGGAGATGGCAATGGCTGGACTTTTGGTGCTAGTAACTGGCCTAATGGCAAGAATTTCAAAGCTGGCGATGTGCTTGGTATGAAACTACTTGTACCCATTATTGTGCCTTTTATTTACATGTCACAATCTTTTTTTTTTTTAAATAAAAAAAAAGTTACATCACAGAAGTGCTTATTTATCAAAGTGAGATAGTATGTTAAAGAAAAATAACTGTTTATGTCGGATTAAATAGGAGTTTATGTAGTGTTTATTACTTCCATGACATTAACAAACCTTTTTTTTTTTCTTGCAGTATTCAAATATCCTAAAGGTGTTCACAATGTGGTGATAGTGAACAAGGCTAATTATGGTAGTTGTAACGCTTCTGGGAAAATACTTAGTTCTGGAAATGATAGAGTAACTCTTGGCAAAGGCACATACTATTTTATTTGCGGCATTCCTGGTCATTGTAATGGTGGCCAAAAGATTTCAGTTACTGCTAAGTAAAAAATCAAATAAATAAATAAATAAATAAATAAATAAATAAATAATATGTTGCTTTCTTCCCATTGTTTTTTATTTATCTCTTCATTTCTATATTTTGAAGAATGAAATAACAACTTATAATTTAATCTCTTTTTTTTTTAAATTCAAGTACTCCACAAGCAAAAAATTATCTATATGGATCATGAAATAAAACATTCTACATCATTGGTACACCAAAGTACAACAATTGGAATGAATTAATACTACTAGATTTAATTTTGATAAATGCAGTTTAATTTGAAATAAATTAATTGGCGGTAACAGCAGCCTTGACGCCATTAGAACAGTGTGGTCCGATTGTACAAATGAAGTATTGCGTTCCTTGTACAAGTGTTACTTTGTCGTCTCCTGAACTAAAAACTTGTCCTCCAGTACCATCGCAAGCGTCAAATCCTGCCTTGCTCACTTTCACCACGTTGTGCATCCCAGCCATGTATTTAAATTCTGTATTTTAGGAAAGAAAAACGAAATAGAGAAACGATAATTTTTGTCAAATATATAGATGCACATTTTCATTATTATTTGAATATAAAAAGTATGTTTATGAATGCTTACCAATGACATCGCCAACCTTGAAAGTCTGGCCATTAGGCCAACCATTCATGTTGAAACCCCAACCATTAGCGCCACCAGCAGGAAATGTAGCTGCACTTGAAATGCTGGTTTGAAGTAAGACGCATAGCATCACAGCTGCGGCAATAATTGTGGCTCTGTTTCCTCCTGACATTTTTTAAGAATGAATATATTAAATAGATACGCAAAAGGATTATTTTATAAAAGAAAGGCTCTTAGTGTTGTTGTGCCAATTGAATGAGAATTTAGACCCTTTTTATAGGGAACTTCTTGTACCATTTGACTCACTATTCATTGGATTTGGAATATCTACTGTTTTACTATTATCTGCAAATTTGTTAACAACCTGCCAAAATCATAATCTTCGAAGTTTTTCATTGTAAAAAATTAAAGAATCTTTATTTTTATGATAAGTCAATAAAATATTAGTACAAAAGAAAATGGGAAAAAATTGATAGAGTTTCCGAAGAGGCAAAAGTGAGTAGGATTACCGAAGGAAATGTTACAGAAAGAAAAGGGGAAAAATGATATAGTTTCCAAATAAGCAAAAGTGACATAGATATCATTTGCAATTTAAAGGTAATATACAGGTGTTGAAGTTTTATTTACTTTTAACAAATTTTAATTTAGAGTTTACTGTGTAGGCACTTATTGGATTGAGCTAACACAAGGGCTACATAAACGTTTAGTACATATTGGATTGGCCCAAATAAATATATGGATCAATAATCCAAGTATCCAACTACGTTGAGTTGGATCAACTAGTTCGGCTATACAAAATGAATTAGAAAAATGATATTATATAGCCGCTTTCAAATAATGGTAAAAAATAAATAAATATTTTTTGTATATATATATATATATATATNATAAATAGTTTCTGGCGGGCATAAAGTGAAAAAAAAGCTCACGAATACGTTAAATCAAGCCAAATGACACTTGTCATTTCCAAAAGGTCAAACTTTTATCACGTGTCAAGTAACGTAGTATTCTTAGTGGACTTGATGGCTAATCAAATTCAACCAATGTAAAACGGTTGTGACGTTTTACCTTGAATTTAACTACGGTAATCAAGTCCAACGGAAAAGTTTGATCTACAAACGTTTCTCTTCTGCAATTATAAGTAGTATAACAATTACGGAGAAGTATATGCTGGTACTTTCTCAACTAATATTAGCCAATATTCTTTGTCTTATCTAATTTAGTTTATTTTGTATATAATTTGAAACTTCTTTATATCTATTAACAGAGTATTACGGAGATCAATATGTGTTAGAAATTGAATTGAGAGTAATATTCATGTTTATCATCATGCATTTAAATATTACTGGATGAATTAAAGTGAAAATTTAAAGACTTCATTGTGGGAATTTTTAAAAGAAAGCTCGTAAATGGGCTTTATGATTTGTGGAATTTTTTGACAAATTAGAAGTTGCGATTAAATTTTAAAGCTATTCAGTGAAGAGCTATTTGGTGATTGTCTTTGTGAGTTGAAGTACGTCGGAGACGAAATTCAACTTCTGTATACAATTATATTGTCACGGCCCAAATTTTTTACTGTCGGGATCGTAATGACGCCTAACATTGAACTCGCTAGGCAAGCCAACGTTACTGATTTGTTTACCTTTTTACTTTATTTTTTAGCAATTTACAAGTTAGCATAACATAAACAACGGAATAAAATGCGGAAGAACGGAATTTAACAATCTAACTGAATACTAATATGAAATCCATAATACAACTCCACCCAGAACTGGTGTCACAATGTAACGGACTGTCTACGAATACTACAAATAGTGGTCTTAATAAGAAAATACAAATTTGTCTCAGAAATAGATAAAACAGAAAGAAATATAATAGAAGGGGACGCCAAGGTCTACGGACGCCTGCAGGACTACCTCGGGTCTCCACTGGACTGAAGGCAGCAACCTCGAACTACGGCCTGTAGGGTCCAATACCGGAATCTGCACAAAAGAGTGCAGAGTATAGTATCAGTACAACCGACCCCATGTACTGGTAAGTGTCGAGCCTAACCTCGGCGAAGTAGTGACGAGGCTAGAACATAACAACCACATAAACATGTGCAATTAAATGATGTACGAGAAACAATAATAACAAGAATGAAATATAATAAGACGGGAAAAAGGGGAACATGCTGAGGGGGATATATGGTTATGACAATGATAAAGTAACGCGACAAAATAAATATCAAACTTGAAGCAACAAAATAATAACACAGAAACAAGTGTACGTCATCACCCTTCGTGCGTTTACTCTCGTTCTCACCATAGAAATCAACAGAAATGGCATGGCATCACCCTTCGTGCTTTTAATTTCAATAATATGGCACAACATCACCATTCGTGCATTAACACTCACATATCGGCACGGCATCACACTTCGTGCATTAACTCTCACTCTCTATATCATGCACGATATCACCCTTCGTGCTTTACACTCTTCCTTACCCAAACAAATGCAATGATAACATCCTGGCAAGGGAATCAACAATAGAAACATCAATAGAAACAATACCATCCCGACAAGGGAGTCAGCTATAACCAATATAGTTTCAACAATTAATTCACAAAATAAACCTCAACTTGAACTAATACTTGACAATGGTCAATTACCAAGAATTTATCATAAGTCTTGTTCCACATTGCTAATCATCAATTTAAGCATGATCAATACATAATAAAATCGCAACAATCTTAATATAAAACTCACAGGCATGCTTGACACCAATGTATAGATACTCGTCACCTCACCTATACGTCGTACTCGACACTAACACGTAGCAAATAAGATATAACACCTATTCCCTCAAGCTAAGGTTAGACCAAACACTTACCTCGAATTTCCACGGCCAAACTCAAGCCTCAAATACTGCTTTCTCTTTTGATTCCACTTCCAATTCAATTGTATCTAGCTAATATTAACTTATTAATATTAATTGAAGCCAAAGAAACCAACTCAAATGCAAAATTACAGATTTCCCAACATTCGAAAAAAGTCAAAACCCGACCCCGGGCCCACTTGGTCAAAACTCAAGGTTCGAACCAAATCCCGTTCACCCATTCACTCACAAGCCCAAATATGCAATTAGTTCCGGAACCCGACCCCCAAATCGAGGTATAAATCCCCAAATTTGTAAAATCCCTAATTTCTACCCTTAAAGAAGAAGATTTAGGCTTAGAAATCTAATGGGTGTTGATGAAAAATGAAAAAAATGGTTTTAAGAACACATACCTATGTTTTGGTGTTGAAACTTTTCTTCAAAAATCGCCCAAGGTCGGATTTTAGGGAGAGAGATATGAAATTTTGAAGAAATCCCGACCTAGGTTCTGTTTTTAATTCACTGGGCAGACCTTCTTCGCGTTCGCGAAGCTTGTGGCCAGAAGGGCCTACACATTCGCGATAAGCTGCTCGCGTTTGCGATGGTCTGTCTCCCCTGACCATCGCGTTCGCGGGTCTGGGACCACGTTCACGAAGAACAACTCAAAGACTTCCTCTAGCCACTTCCATTGCACTACATGTTCGTGTGTGGGCAGTCGCGTTCGTGAAGAGCAATCCTCCCAGTGCTCCGCTTTCGCGACCAGGGCCTCGCGTTCTCGTAGAAGAAACCCCTCCCCAGACCAGCTTGTACTTCATGTTCGCGTGAGCTGTATCGCGAACTCGAAGAACAAAATATCAGTATACTAAAAGTAGCAAAACAACAGAATTCCTTAAGTCCAAAACATCTCGAAACCTATCTGAAACTCACCCAAGCCCTCGGGCCTTCAAACCAAACATGCACTCAAACCTAAAAACATCATACAGACTTACTCGTGCGGTCAAATTTCCAAAATAATACCTAGAACTATGAGTTTAGCATCAAAATCAAAAAAAATCTCAAGAACTTTTAAAATTTCCATTTCACAACCGCGGGTCCGATTCACGTCATATGAATTTCGTTTCTTACCAAATTTTGATAGGCACAATTTAAATACCATATTAAACCTGTACCGGGCTGCGAAACAAAAATACGGGTCCGGTACCATCAAATTCAAACATTTTTAAATTTTTAAAAACTCTTATATTTTCAGTTAAATAATTTCTTTCAAAAATTCATTTCTCGGGCTAGGGACCTCTAAATTCAATTTCGGGCATACGCCCAAGTCCCATATTTTTCTACGGACCCTCTAGGACTGTCAAATTACGGGTCCGGGTCTATTTACCCAAACTATTAACCGAAGTCAACTTAAATTCAGTATTAAAGGCAAAATTAGCATTTTCTCAACTTTTTACATAAGGGCTTTTCGAATATACGCCCGGACTGTGCACACAAATCGAGGTGAGACAAAAAGAGGTTTTTAAGGCCTCGAAACATAGCTTTGACTTTTAAAACAAGAGATACTCGTTTGGGTCATCACATTTCCACCTCTAAAAAAACCGTTCGTCCTCGAACGGACATAGAAAAGTACCTGAGTCGGGGAAAAGATGAGGATATCGGCTCTGCATATCGGACTCAGACTCCCAAGTAGCTAGCTTGATAGGCTGACCTTTCCACTGAACATGAACTGAAGGATAACTCTTCGATCTCAACTGACGAACCTGCCAATCTACAATAGCTACCGGCTCCTCCTCATAGGTCAAGTCCTTGTCCAACTGGATAGTGCTGAAGTCGAACACGTGGGATGGATCGCCGTGATACTTCCGAAGCATGGATACATGAAACACTGGATGCACAGCTGATAAACTCGGTGGCAACGTAAGTTTGTAAGCCACCTCTCTCACTCTATCAAGAATCTCAAAAGGACCGATGAATCTAGGGATTAGCTTGCCCTTCTTCCCAAATCGCATCACGCCCTTCATGGGCGACACCCGAAGCAACACTCGCTCTCTGACCATGAATGCCATATTACAAACTTTGCGGTTGGTATAACTCTTCTGCCTGGATTGAGCTGTACGAAGCCTATCCTGAATAATCTTAGCCTTATCCAAGGCATCCTGTACTAAGTATGTACCCAACAACCGAGCCTCTCCCAGCTCAAACTACCCAACCGGCGACCGACATCGCCTACCATATAATGTCTCATAGGGAGCCAACTGAATGCTCGACTGATAACTGTTGTTATAGGAAAACTCTGCTAATGGCAAGAACTGATCCCAAGAACCTCCAAAGTCAATAATACATGCTCGGACCATATCCTCTAAAATCTGAATAGTACGCTCAGACTGTCCATCTG